GTGGTACCGGGGATGAAACTCAGGACCTTGCACTTTCAGGGTAGGTGCGGTGCCACTGAGCTAAATCTCCGGCCCTAAAAATAATTTTTAAATACCTTCTTAGAAAGCCAAAAAATAATACAAGAAATGATAACATCAGTGTAACTATTATATGTCTCCTATTTTCCCTGTAGATGTTTTTCTTTGACCATACTAAATTAATAATGCAAGAGCCTTTGATTGTTATAAATTTTATTAGAATAGAAAATAATACATACAGATAACCATAGGATACACACACAGAAATTTAAAGATAAATTTTATCTTTTCAATATGAAAAAATTTCCATATCTCATGGAGATATATTACTAGAAATAATATGAAACAAGAGAGTGATCATCTTGAAAATGAAAAATGTAGGAACATATTATAGGAATCACTAGTTAATAAAAACATACAGCTCCATTACATGTAGCATAAAATACAAGTATTGGAGAAAGTATTTCCCCCTTTTTAACTGGAAATAACAATGGTCATATGAAATCTATTAGTCATTCCGATTTTTTCTATTTATATACAGTATATACAGACTTTATAGAGAAAGTTATATTTTTTCTCCTGTGAATATCATGACTTTATCTTGAACAAAATCTCTAAATGTAAAGTGGTACTTTATAGATATATCAAAATTTTGCTAATTTTTAATCTTTTTCTAGAGTTGAACTGTTGGTTCCAAATTTTGGTACCTTTGAAATACAAATAAGTTCCAGAGGAATGTGAAATTGGTAGGAAAGAGGTATAAAATTGATTTTGAACATCTAATACTCGATTTGCCGATTTTCATATACTCTTTACATATTGCTACTAAGTCATGTCTTCAATAATCCTTTGAAAACCACATATTGAAAAGCTGAATCATACATATCAAAGTCAGCAGAAGCATTATGGTTCTATTACAAGTTTAACTCAGAAACTAAAAAGCCTGTCTGACTCACTGAGATAGACAGTGGGATTTCATTAAAAAACCATCTCCACCATCCAAAAGAGAGGAGATCCTTTAATGGAATCAGAAAGCAGAAACAAAGAACTGTGTGGATTTTGTTTAATATTTGGGTTGAGATTTTGATCATTTCTTATTTTTTCAACTGGGTTGTAATAAAGTCTGAAAGCTTATTCTTGGGTGTGAAGAAAATAATTTTTTAAAAAATTATGTTTTAAAATATGAAAAAGGACAAAATATATTCATTTCAGTTCTCCCATTGCTGAATGAAACAGAGTATTGCCTAGAGTATAGAATACTAGCTTAAAAGATGTGGCTGATCTTCATGAATTTTATATGCTTAAGGAAATCCATGCTACAGTTTGCACAGGAACCTGGCATTTGGTATAACAAAGCACTTTCACATTTTCTTCTTCAATTTTTAACAACTAATTCATGGGGCAGAGGAAGATCAGATGGATATTATTACCATCACATTTTATTGAGAGGTACAGAGAGCAAAGTGAAATCTAAATTATCACAATAATTTAGCAGTACACTAAAGAAATCTTATTCTCCTGAGCTCCAAAAAAAGCATTTTCCAGCAACACATGCCACCCTCTTCTAATAGGATAATTGTTTAAATGTAGTTTTTACCCTTGGAGATTTAAATCGCCATTTTAAAATGATGTTGATTAAGTTTTACAAATAGTGTTGTGATACTGGGAAAAGAGCATTTGGATTAAATGAGGACCATTTCAATGTTAAAAAAAAAAGTGTGTTTTTGGAGGGGGGCTATGTGAGAGTGTATGAGTCTTTATCATAGGCAGTGATAAACTCATAGCTTAAGAACATTTATATCAAAAGACTGCAGTATGTGATATGTAAATTCCTTTGGTTTATCAAGTAAATATTAAGGCATTTCAGATTCCTCTAAAAGGATTTACTGTTTTTTATTATGTTCATATTTTATCTATAATGAAGTAGAAAGTTAAAAACAGTTGAAAAAAAACATGCACAATCACTGTTTCATGAAAGCACTTTTTTGGGTAACCAATTAACTTTCCAGTAAATAATTTAAAAAAGAATAAACATCACCACAGGGCATTTACAATAAAGAACAGTACCATAGGTATATAACTTGACATAGAGTGGACATTCGAGATGGCTGAAGTGGATCCTCTTGCATCCATATCTGTCAAAGATGATAAACAGCTCGTTAACAGAGATTCAATATGCAATCAGGGTGTTAGAGACTGTTTGTGTTCCCTCCAGAATCATATGCTGGAAATCCTGTCCCTCAGTGTGATGGTGTTAGGAGATGGGGCCTTGACAACTGACACTGAGTGAGCTAGCACCTAGACCTTGGATTTCCCAGTCTCCAAATCTGTGAGAAATAAAGCTCTGTAGTTATAAGACACCCTGTCCACGCTTTCGTTAGAGCAGTCTGAACAGACTAAGACACAAGATAAAAGCAATGCCTCCCCTATAAATTAAAAAAACCCCTCAAATTATACCATGATCCTACCCTACTCTGGGATCACAAGTTAGTCCTTAGTTTATGCATCAATAACAGCATGTACATGTTGCCCAGAATATAAAAACACTGATGTGTTTTAAGTGTTCTCAAATGTTACAAGCTTTGTTCATCTAGTATTAACTTTAATTGAAATTGGAAAAACAACTTAATCATTTAAAAAATAATTATACTTGATCACAAACAACTGTGGGGTAATTCAATAGCTTAATTAAAAAAAGCTTCATTGGACAGGGGTTTGGAAAATCTGCTTGTTTTTATTTTATGCAGATAAATTATTATGCATAATATAAAATATCATTTTTTAAAACCAATCAATAAAAGCTCCATTTTCAGAGACAGCCCTGTGCAGTCCCAGTCTCTGCGAACTCAGCAAGACAGCAGATGTCAGATGAAAAGGCCACTCGGCTCAGCAGCCCCAAATGCTAATTGTGCCTGCCCCTGCCAAAGCAGAGAAGCTCTCTCTGAACAGTATGGCTTTGTCCATATTGTCCTGTGAACTCTATACCTTGCATTCCTCAGGGAACAGGAAGTATGTGCTAATTATTTTAAAACCTAAATTAATAATAATAAACATAATTTTATTCCTGCTTTTGTCTACAAGTGTCTACAGTCTGAAATGGTTCTAATGGACTTTTAACTTGCAGAACTTAGTTCCAAGATAAGTAGCTGCAATTTTCTTAGTATAGCTTAGTTTGCTTTGTCAAGAATGGCAGACTATGATTTCACAGAAAGATAAAATTTTTCCAAGTTTTCCTATGTCCCTTTCACTTCAGTTGGTAGTTTCAGCCATTTTCTTTTCCAAGATTAGAGATAATCATTTCAATCTTTCCCTGCACCATAGAGGAAGCTCCCACCAATAAATGGAAACAAGAAACAAAGTTATCCATGTCACTAAAAACTATAAAATAGAGAATGAAAACAAGAAGAGCTCTACAGTACTGAAAACTCCAGACACAGGGTTTATACGGGAAGATGAAATTTTTGTACCATTGTCACTGATAAAATATATATGCCAAAGTCTGTTTCCCTTCCCTCTAAAAATCCAATTATTATAATAAAATAGGTTTCATTTCAATTTTGAGAGAAAAAAACTTTTGTGAACCTCTTTGGAAATTAGAAGCAGATTATTCTAACACTGTTAACTTTTGGTTTGGCACACATAAATGGCTTATAACATAAACAATGTTAATTTTTCTATTAAAATAATTGGTAACATTTATTTATAATTTATAGGAGGCAAACTACTGGAATATTAAAGATCTTAAAAAGTACTGTGCGGGTTCAATGTTGCCCTTGAGAAAAGGTTGGGAATTCTGTTTGTATAGGCTACCCAAAGGCACATTTAAGCATAGATAGAATGAGGAAAATAATTCAAATGAATAAAAGTTTGCTAAATATTTTTGTCTTTTCCTTCTGTCCTTGTCTTTCTTGCCATTTTGTACCACTCCTGAAGTTTTCCTTCTGCTTTTATCATGATGTTGCAAAAACCTTCTTAGCATTGGCAAGAAAAGCATGTGTGCTGGGAGCAAATGGGCAGAAGGGCACTAATGGATTCACCACTAGGGTTTAGCAACCCTGATGGAAGCAACGGGAAAACTGAGCTCCACCAACTTACTGGTAATTCTTGGAATCCTGATCTGTTCACTACTGCTGCCATCTCCTCCATCTGTGGTGGCTTTGACTTCAATAATGTAGTCTTCCTTAAGGGGCAGCAAAAGTTCAGCTGAAGTTTTATTTGTGTTCAACACTTGCACACTGTTTTGACTGCTAGACCTATAGAAAACCTGAAATGCACAAATATAGTTCTTAGGTTGCCTGGTTTTATTTTCTTTACAACATCTTCTCTTATCACAGTAAAATTATTTTGTTTTTCTGCATCCTGTAGAATATAAATTGCATTCCCAGATCAATCCAAAGGTCTTAGATTACGGATGAGCACACAGTAGAATCACCAGGCACTGCAAATCAAGGAGGTGGTGGAAGAATGATTTTCCTCCTTGGAAGAGCTCAGCTGGGTTGAGTATCGGTGAGGCTGAAGAGACAGGACAGGGCCCTGCTATGTGGGCTCTGAGTGCCCAACCGAGAAATCACAGCCAGTACTTTCAGTTACTTTTAAAATAATCTATAATGAGTATTAGAAGTAGAAAACTCATTAACACATAATTTGCAAAAATTGTGTCCAAAATTCCCACATAAGCAGAATTATTTCATGGAAGTTTATATTTAACAAGTGAGATATTTAGGAAAAATATTTTTTCATGAAATCTTGATAACTATATCATAATTAGATTATAGAAACCACATGAACAATATTTTATAAACATCATTTCAACCTAGTCTCCCTCAAAAAGATTTTATAGAAGTAGGAAAACAAAGCAGTGAAAATTATGTAACTTACTTTATATCCTGTGACTTCGGATTCATTCTCCATTGCTTTCACTTGCTCCCAGTTAAGTAACACTTTAGTGTCTGTCGCATTCCAGACAACATTTCCTGGCGGCTGACTGGGAGCTTGAAATGCAAAATGAGAAATTAAAACTGATTTGAGCACTGAGTAGTATTTTCAATGGAGCAGATAAATGACTATCACAGGAGGGAAGTGGAAGTAGATCACTCTCTTGGTAATGTGTGATATACAGATGGAATTAGGAAAAAAACAGAGTAGCCAAATTTCTTTTCTATATGGCATTTCAATTAAATTGTGAAAAAGTTCATTTTATCATATTCATCATCTATTTTAAGACATTTCAGAATGCATTTGCATTGCATCCTGCAAAACACATTGGCATTGGAGAAAAGCAAATTCCTTTATCCACCACTGGAGGGACACTTGCTGATGAGCCCAGGAAGGAAGGCAGAGTAACTTGTTTTAACACAGAAGGCTGAGAGAATTTGCCAAATAGGCAGATTAAAGTCACATGAAATGAAGTGTGGATGATTTTTAAGCTAGCCTTGTATGATGAGATGGGGAAAATGGGAAGCAATCAAAATAAGGATTATTTAGATTTATTCTCATGAAGTAATAGCTACACACATGAAAAATTGCAACCAAGCTTCCATATTTTAAAGTCCTTTTCAGAGTGTAAATCAATTTTTAAGAAAAATAAGGCAAAGCACTAAAAAGTTAATGAAAATTCCATTAGAGAATTAATGAAACTCTTTCAGGTTTATAAAGTTGGATTCAGAGTTTAGTTTCCTCTCATGAATTCCAGACAGGAAACTCAAGGGGTGGGGGAAGGCTCAGTGGCATCTGTCAACAGCTATGCATATGGAACACTGAAGACTCAGTTTATTGTTAATCACGAAACAACAAATATTGGACTCATTTGTCAAAAGCATCACAACTGCCCCCCAACAGTGCTGAAATATGTTGTACTTGTGGATTTAACCACAGAATGTGATTTGGTTAACTGAATTTGTAATGGAAAAATGATATAAAAGCTTGCCTCTGTAGAGAAATTCCTAAACATCAATGACTTATGCCATGAGGGAAATACAGCTGAACTTTCAGATGGGAAGAACTCTCAGATACATTTATGTGACTAATAACCCCAAACAAGATTACATTCCCTATGGATGTTATTGTTTATTGTCTGATCTTTGTTGCTTTCAATTTTTTTAAATTTTTTGATCTGATACTAACTGCAAGTTTAGGTCAGCTAATATTGTCCAAGCTGCAATACTTTGATAACAACAAAAATATTGTGTAAGGGCAATTGCTTAGTGTCAAAATCCTAATAAGCATGTTCTGGTTGCTCAATTCCAAAGATATGGTGGCACACTTGTTAGAGCACTGTCCCACCATCTGGGATTCCCTGTAGCCACTATAGAAGGACAACTTTGATTTGATGCAGCTCAGATAAGACACCCAAGGGAGCATCCTTTGTCCTACCAAAGGGTGTGTGCTAGGAAGATACAAAGCTTGAATCATTTGAGCAGAATCACCTCTCCCAATAGTAGCCTTACAGAAAAAATGACTGCAAGTTGGAGTTTATCTTCTGTGAATCCCAAAATAGATGTGTTGAATGAGTTCAGCCTGAAATGAGTAGTTGTTGAAATGACAAAAAAAAAGGAGAAAAGAAAGAACAAATAAAAGGGTTTGAGTCTGATTGCTGTTTTTGAATCATATCAGTGTTTCCTGAGCACTAGTCATGTACAACTTCTGTCATTTTTGCGATTTTTGAAAAATTGACTTGAGTTTTTAAAAATATAAACATCTATGTTAGCCTCATCCCAAACAATATTCACACAATAACAAGATTGATATATTAGTTACAATTTGCTGCTCTTTTTTTTCTTTTTGGTACCAGGGATCGAACTTAGGACGTTGCGCTTGTGAGGCAGGCAGCAGAACCACTCAGATAATCCCCCACTCCTTGCTACTCTTTAAAACAATTGAAGTAAATGCTCCCTTTAAATTTTTTTAAATTTCAAAAATGTTTGTGGACCACCTTAAAAATAAGGTCTTTTAGTATCTCTGGTAAGAATAATGCCATCTGGGAAACTGATCAGATAAACTTTCCTCCATACTCAAAATTCTATTCTTAGTAATGCTTAGTAGACATTGATAATGTATTAGGCACTGTAGAATATGCTTTTATATGATTTATTTAATGCTTACTACACTGTGTTGTAATAATGCTCATTCCTATAAAGGGTCATCTAGACCCAGATTGTTAAAAATATTGTATACTTATGTTCACAGAAGCATTATTCATAGTAGTCAAAAGGTGGATGCAAACTGGACAGAGGGGCACACACCTGTAATCTCAGCTAGTAGGAAGGCTGAGGCAGGCAGATCACAAGTTTGAGGCCAGCCTGGGCAACTTAGCAAGATCTTATCTCAAAATAAAAAATAAAAAGGGACAGTAGTAGGATACCTGAGGGTTCAATACCCAGTACTGAATAAAGAAAGAGAAGGAAATCAATTTTAATTAAACAATTACATATAATGGGCTATCGTTCAGCCTTAAAAAGCAGTGAAATTCTGCTTCATGTAATAACATGGATGAACCCTGAGGACATTAGGCTAAGTGAAATAAGCAAATCATAAAAACACAAATACTATATGATTCACCTTATATATGTAGAGCAGTGAATTCATAGAGATAAAATGTACAATGGGGGTTTGCCAGAGGCTGGCAGAGGGGAAATGGGGAATTGTTAAATGGCTAGAGAGCTTCAATTCTGCAGGGTGAAGAGAGTTGTGACCACTGGTATGTGGCACAGCACTGTGAATGTCCTCAGCACTGTTTTCCTATATCTTTAAAAATGGTTAAGACAGTTTTTAACTTTTCATGCATTTTATTGTAATTGAAGAATGCTAATATGCACTTATTAGCACCACTGAAGGGTGCTAAGTTACCCAAGAAGTGAGAGGTGTGATGTGGATTCAAACTGGCTGTTTAATTTCAGAGGCTTCTCTGGCTACCGCCCTGGCATCAGGCTTGGCCATGGGCCTGAAGTTCTCTGTCGGCAAGAAGATACACTGCCCCTTCTTATTGGCAGGCATCTCATGGCACCAGCCCTCCCCATCAGACTGGCTTCAATCAATGACACATAAGAAGAAGGGAAACGGGCCATTTTAATATGGCCATTTAAAGAAAAAAAGAACACTGAGGATCATGATTTGCCTTTCTTTTTTCTTCTCTGCCACGAGACCAGAGAACGACTGCTTCTTCAGTCTGGATCTGGGAGTGAAGATGGAATCTCACTTTGGTATGGGTAAGAGACATGTAGGCTTGGGGATATGAGGTCCTGCAGCCTGGATCTACCTAATGTGACTGATGTAATCAGGACTCTAAACAGCTTTAAAGCTACACAACAAACTTTTTTACAGGCATAAGGGACAAGTAATGAAGTGGGAACAGTCAAGAGATAGCTGGTAGCATTCATATTTTCCGGAACTTCTAATTTCACCTTTTGTGTTCTATCCCATGTGGAAGCACAACTCAGAACAGGCTGAGTTCCTAATTTTACTGGACTTAACTTGATATGTGGTCTACGTTTAAAATTTTTTCAGAAACTATTTGTCAATGTTCATATTCTACAGATTTTTTCTTTTGTTAGTCAATGTCTATTATTGGCAGTATGCCAAAGAGAAAAATGGTAAAAACTAACTTATTTAGTAAAAAGGAGGAATATCACTAGATTTATAGTCCACTACTAATTGACAGGCTATAGAATTATTTAGATAATTTTAAATATTATAAAACAAAAATAATATTATCCCCAAAAGGGTTTATTGTTATTGTTCTTTAAGAACCCCTCATGCTCCTGTGTGTATCTGATTTATGGATTTTGTTTTATACATTTTGCTAGGTCTGCAGACATCTGCCTAACAAGTGATCCCTTTGAAAATACTATGATTAGATATACCTGACAATATAAGACACATCTACCCACTAGAAAATTACTAAATAAACTGTGGTGCATTATCACAATGAAAGCACACACACACACACACACACACACACACACACACACACCCTGTTATGAGATATAGATAACTAAATATAAAGCACAATCTCCACTGAATGAGAAACTTTCCATAGAACATACATTCAGGAAGACAAATGATATTCATGATGATATTTCAGAGTGAAAGGATTGTGAATAATTTTTATTTTCTTTTCTAAAATTTTTGTTTGTTCCCAATTTCTGTAATAAATTTGTTTTCCCTTGTAGAATAAAAAATAGAGGCTGTTAACATCAAGGGCATTATTTTCTGGAGTTTTCAAGAGTGTTATCTCCATGGTGGTGATGGTGGAGCCAGCATTTACTCTGAAAATATGAAATTTTACAAACATATGCTTGCTGTGATTAATTACACAAAACACAGTATGTTTCTTAACTCTTTTTCTTGGCCACCTGACGGTAGTAAAATGACTTTCATGTTAAGTGGGTATCATCACCAGTAGCTGAAAAGTACTCTTTGGACTTGGACTTCACTTGAGATGATCACCAACATTTGTAATGAAGCTGCTTAACCATGCGGCATTGTCCAAAATTCAAATAATCATAAGTCACTTTCTCTCCAAAAATGAGATATTTGTTTTGGCACCATTAAAGGTATTATAAATAGACTACATGTTTCAGATCATTGGAAACTGTTTTAAAACACACAAAAAATGTACTTTTTAATCACCCTAAACTCAGAGAAGACTAGCCTTATAGGCCAACCTATAACATCCAGAGAAGGCCTTTGTTTTAAATGAATGGGAATTTCCTTGAGCAAAATTTTTGTTTAGATAATGAAAATATCTCAGAATGTAAATTAAAGTATAAGCAGAATGTTTACAGTGATCTAGAGGACTTAGAGGAAAGTGGGACAGATTTTTCAAAAGAGTCAAAGCATTTTATAAAGTTTAGATGATTTAAATGTTTGGCCTGAGGTTTACTTGATTCTGTATTAGCTGAAACTCAATGAATTCTGGTAAAGTTCAATACTATATTATTATTACCTTTCTTCCGACTTTACAAAATCAGGAATAATTTTATTCATGCCCATA